GGTCACGTGACCCCACGTGACGCCACTTTGAGAGCTCCACTTTGATCGTCTAATACCGGCTTATGGCACGCAGCTAAAGGCCTAGATACACACGGCGATTGATTGAAGCGAGTGAGAGACGAAAGCCAATGGAGAGCCTTGATTTCGATCCATTGGCGTCGATTTATCGAAATCAAGGCTCACCCATTGGCTTCCGTCTTTCCCTCGCAGCGATTAATTGCCCTGTGTATTTAGTCCTTAAGACGGCTAGGCTCCAATCTATAGTCTCGAATTTCTAAAACTGCACTCATGCGCCTTGTCCTCCAAGCCCCTCGGATGGTCTAAAAATCACCTCTGCAGTGCATGTATCTCTTGATTAAAGTCGTCTTGAAACGTGTTTCAGATTAACGAAAGTTTACCGATGCATNAAAAAAAAAAAAAAAAAAAAAAAAAAAAAAAAAAAAAAAAAAAATCAATTTCACACTCTGTGAATATTTGCTCCAATTCGCACAATGATTTTCGATCAAATTTTCCGTATTCCCTTGCCGTTTTAAATATTCAGACTTTTGTTATATGATATTAATTTTTCTTGAGCCATTAATGCAGAGTCATTTTACCGTTGACTTTTAAATCCTCGGTGATTCGTCGACCAGTGACCGGGACACAGAAGTGCCTCAGAGTCTCTTTAATGATCATTTCCAAGTAAACTAGCTTGGGTAGATCGTCCGGTGTCACTTTTCCATCGGTACAGTTTTCAACGATTTCTTGGTAAGCTCCTTCCTGTATCTCAGGGAACATCGCCAGCAGCTTAAACACCCATGAGTTCGTCAATGCCGTCGTAATGGATCCCTGAAAAAATGTGGTGAATAATCATTTCTTTCTCGTCCTCCAGCCGGAATTTTGTCAATCTAAAAAGAATATTCGATCCCGACATGAAATCCGTCGTATGCTGTCTAATGAGCTGTCAAAAATATGGAGCAGCTTTTCAAAAAAATTAAAAAAAAAGAGAAAAATTTTAAGTGTAAGCATGCATGACAAAATTCTGACTGGGAAGGAAACCGAATGTGCAATTGACTGTAACCGAGCGAATATCTTCAAAACTTATAATTTCAAAACTTGCAATTTTAGTCAAAAAGTACCTGTTTGACCTTTTTAATAAGTTGTTGCACTGTGCATCGTCTGTGCTCTGTAGAACTGTAATGCCGTAAATAATTACCTTCAGGCGTTGCCACATAGCCTTCGTTTATTTTCAAGAGAAGTTTTCAAACATTTTTCCTTTAAATTTTCGGAAACTTTGGGTGAAATTGCAAGCATAATTTCGGAAGAATTGGAAGGAAAAATCCACAAGTTTACCAGGATATTCATATTATATCAGAGGAAATTTGGCAGAGCCTGAAGATTCCTTCAGTGTATCCTTAGTATGACTGTGTATAGCTTCACTGTGCAATTTGTTAAATACATAAAGTTGCAATTATTAATGTATTTACGGTCACAACTATGAATGAACATAAAGTTGCAACTTTTTAAGTGCCCATAGTTGGAATTTTTGACGGACTAAACGTTGCACTTTTAAAAAGACATAAAAAGAAGCTCATGGCGATTAATTTTATGATAATGAAGCCTCTTAAATTCAAATGGGTATACTTACAGCAACGAACATATCCGTTATCTCGGAAAATACGTGATCTCTTGTTATGATCTTAAGATCAAGATTCTCTAACAAAACGTCGATAAAAGTTCCCTCGCCCTCTGAAAATCGAGAGCAAGTCATTACAATAAGAAACATCAAAATTTGATTTTAAGGGAATTTGATGTACTTCAAAAATCAAGGAACGATTTTTTAAAAGTTTCTAAGATTGAAAAGTCGAAAATGGTTATAGGACTTTTCGTCAACGATTTTTTGTCCGCTTGCCTGTTTTTTCCAGTAATGTACGTCCACGCGTTTTTTCGGCACGGGAGTTTTGGTCCACGTGCCAGCTGAGACCCAAAGTTAATTGGCCCACATGTAAATACCATCGACAATTACTCACGCGTTTTTGGATTAAAATGTAAAATGTCTTGGAAGAATGAGAGTTTGCTTGTTTTTTTGTTTTGTCAGTTTGGTCCAACGGAGAATAATATACAGGGTGATCCAGACCACCCGTCCACTATCTTTTTCTCGAAAACGGCGGAGAATTGAGCTTCGGGACCAAAACTTTCTCAGGGTAAATCGACCCCAAAGAATCGAATGAAAATATTTTCAGCCCCCCAAAATGGCCCCTTGGGGGGGTTTTGGGGGGGAGCCCCCCCGTATCTCGCAATTTTCAAATGGGAAGGGTATGTTTTGACTTTGGATTCGGAATCTACGGTAAAAAATAAGAACATTTTGTTCTTTGCACTTTTTCCCTAAACCCCCATTTTTTGGAGTTATGGGGCATTTTTGGGGCAATTTTCAATTCGACGCTGTAAGCGGCCAAATCATCCAAATTTCAAAATCTAAAAATCTCCTGAGAGGAGAGGTCAATACCTTTTTATTGATGTGCCACATGACCCCTGTTGCTCCAAAATTTTGGGGGCCACGACCCCCCCAAAAATTTTGGGGCTTTGGAGGACCATGAGTCGAAAATGTCGAAAGGCAAGGGTATGTTTTGACTTCAGATTTGGATTCTACGCGAAAAGTTACGTAGAATTGATATGGCGCATGGCCTGTTTGCTCCAAATTACTGGAGAACCCCATTTCCCCATAAGAAGCCGTGTATTTTTGGACAAAATAAGGGGTAAAAAAAAATTTGAGCAAACAGGTCATGCGCCATATCAATTCTACGTAACTTTTCGCGTAGAATCCAAATCTGAAGTCAAAACATACCCTTGCCTTTCGACATTTTCGACTCATGGCCCTCCAAAGCCCCAAAATTTTTGGGGGGGTCGTGGCCCCCAAAAGTTTGGAGCAACAGGGGTCATGTGGCACATCAATAAAAAGGTATTGACCTCTCCTCTCAGGAGATTTTTAGATTTTGAAATTTGGATGATTTGGCCGCTTACAGCGTCGAATTGAAAATTGCCCCAAAAATGCCCCATAACTCCAAAAAATGGGGGTTTAGGGAAAAAGTGCAAAGAACAAAATGTTCTTATTTTTTACCGTAGATTCCGAATCCAAAGTCAAAACATACCCTTCCCATTTGAAAATTGCGAGATACGGGGGGGCTCCCCCCCAAAACCCCCCCAAGGGGCCATTTTGGGGGGCTGAAAATATTTTCATTCGATTCTTTGGGGTCGATTTACCCTGAGAAAGTTTTGGTCCCGATGCTCAACTCTCCGCCGTTTTCGAGAAAAAGATAGTGGACGGGTGGTCTGGATCACCCTGTATAGTTGAGAGTTTTGATAAAAATGGGAGCGTCAATTCCATGAGTAAAAATTCACTAAAACTCTCTACACCTCTTTGGTGTAACTGGACTTAATTATCTTTCAAGAAATTCCCACCTTGTTATACCTGAACCGGATAAACCTCTGTATTTGCCTCAGCTAAAGGCTCTTAGATTTTTCTTGTGTACGATAAGTATCTTGATATATTTTGCGAGGAAAGATCTGTACTTTTAATGGATGCCTGTCATTCTTAATACGTTCAATTTCGTATAATACTGTGCAAAACCTCTGTTGTGAAATAGTTGCTTCAGGCGCCGCCGCACGGCGGGCGGGCGGCCAGCGCGAAAAGCGCATTGGCGCCTACAAACCTAAGTGGATACTTCAAGCATTGTGCAATGCGTGAAGTATTTACTTGGGTTTGTACGTGCCAGTGAGCCTCTCGCGCTGGCAGCACGCCGCTCCGCTTTGTTCGGCTTTAATATTTATACTCGCATAGTCAGCGTTTTTTAACTCATGATTTTGAAATGTTAGCACACTCTGCATTTGATTATTCTCATTTAAATTGATGGAGAAAAAATATGTATCAATTTATCAAAGGAGATTAATATTAGAATGTATGTTTGTTGAATATTGGTGGTTCCGTTGAAATTTGATGATTTCCAAAGCGCATAAATTTTTTCTTTTACATTTTGTGCTTTTATTGTGCTGCAGCAAGGTGTACGCGCAACGAAACGCTCAAAATTTGACGTATTTGACTATAAAAGATCGATGTACAAATGAGTTAAAACTAAAGATTGCATGCTTCTTGGTTTTTTCCCTCTTTCATTTATTTTTGCAGTTTCTGTTGGCACAACTGCGGCTCATTGACATTAATGTAGCTTGGAAAAGGTTTTACAAATATTTGTCACGTTTTAAAAACATAAATGTTTTCAAAATGAAGTAATAATTTCGTAAAGAAAAAATAAATAAAATAAAAAAAGTACCTATACATTTATAAGGTATATTGCACATTCAATATTTTAAGGATAGAAATAAAACGAAATATTCTCCGATGACAATTTAAAAAGATGATTCAAAAGGAGAAAGTAATGACATTTCATTTAGAAACCAAGCAACCATAGCAACACCTCCTCTTTCAATTTCTCATCTCCATATTGTCAATATAATTTTACATACCGACTGAAATATAACGCTTGGACCAAGTCACTGTTGCTTATTTTACGTGTGGGCGTAAACTACTGGACAAAAAAGGTGCGCGGACAAAAAATCGTTGACAAAATGTCCTGAAACCTCGGAAACTGCAGACTTTCTGCAGATAATAATAAAAGTAGAAAACATGCTCTTGTACATAAGTTTTTAAGAAGGCGCTGACTGTTTTTTTCTTTAGGTCGATATATAATTACCTGCAGCCGATGTAGTGGCTTTGAAATTGTCCCTTTCTTCAATTCTTCGCGTCAGTATCTGAAATCATGAAACTATGTCGGATCAACTTGAGATTGACACGATTTTTACTATCAATGAATTAGTTTTTTATTTTTATTTCAGTGTTTCCGAGATTTTTGAAACTTGGAGTTGCACTTGGGTGATTTCTTTTTAACTTTATTTAAATAAAAATAATGGAAAATATTAATACATAAACTCAACTTCCAAGAGGAACTAAATGATGGGACTTCAATTTTTATAAAAACCTCCGCAGAAACTGCTGAAATATTTATTTAAAACTTACGACATTGACTCTATAAGTATCCAAAAGGAAAATGATAGGGGGATAATTTTTTGTTTCTTTTTTATGGATGCAGGGATAAAGATGCATCATCTCAGAGATTGTCTCATACATCAGTGTGTGTTACACTTTCGCTGACAATTTATTTTTCCTATACCATTTTCCTTATTCACTGATCATAAAATCCAACAGCAATTTTTAAATAGTCCGATTAAGCGTTTTCTTTTTACATGTTTCTGAATGATATTACCTTAATTGTATGAAAAAGGATGAAGTACCAGATGTGCTGTAAAACTGAAAGAGCAACTGTGGCAACTTTGATTTTTTATTTATTACAAGGATAATAATATTCCAGAATTATTACAGACTAATAAAAATTCGCATACGGCAATACCTCTTCAAGGAAGTTGAACCCTTTAGTGAGATATTCATTGTGAAGTTTCCATTTTCCGACAAGCTTGTAAAGTAGGTCTGACCAGAGCAATGGGGAAAACGCCCTCTCAAAAAGCATCTCAGAGAGCCTAGAAATTGAATATTTTTTCACTTATTGTGAGACTCATTATATGTGAGATATTATTTAATGCCGGCAATGTAAGGATACAATTTTTCGCACCCAACCAAGTAAATAAATTTGAAAAGCAAAAACAAAAACAAAAATATTGGATAAGAAGTATTAAAATCTGCTCTTTGACGGAAAAGCTAGTTGTTCACTCAAAATTTATTTTCAACCAAGACTCGTTTCCCTCGGCCAAAAAACTTGTATGATCAGAGTATGTTCAGAGGTAGAGGTTTTGGATAGAAAAAAAAGAGAAACGTACAGAAAATAGGAAGAGAGACTGATGAAAGGAGAGAAAATAGCATCTTTTATCGTACTCGTTTTTTAATAATAATAGAAATAAAAAGTACTAGTCAACAAATTACTGGTTCACATTTGATAATGATTTTAGAAGAGAGAGTTTGATAATCCTGAACAACCGGCGCGGTGTATCACTGCATTGCCGGGATATTTTTGTTAGCAACGCTAACCCACTTGATCATATGGACCGCATTTTGCAATTTGGACCTATAAATTCCGGCCCGGTTTAAAAACAACGTATGTGCCATTAGTTTCCCTATGCACATGAGTGTTTTTTCAGATGAGCCAGAATTTATAGGTCCAATTTGCAAAATGCAGTCCATATGTATACATTGCATTTGGTTAGTTATTAAGCACTGTCTGCAGTTACTATTAGGAGCTGCTTCACTTACCGCGTCATGGAGTGAGAAAGATACGCCAAGTTTTTCTTCTGAACATCCATCCGCGAGCGTATCATATTATCTGAAATTTGTTTTAAACAATATCTTAACTACATATACAAATTACGCAAGATACATGTGCTCCAAAGCTTATAGAATGAGGTAAAATTAGAAATAAAAAAAAAAAAAAATATTAAGTAATCTATATTTATGGATAAACAAATTATTGGTATCATTTCGTGACTTAACAAGCTGCATTGATTAAAAACAAAATTTCACAACTGAAAATGTTTGATGGCCTCCTCTGCCAAAACATCGATTGTTACTAACATACGCTCCAGCATTGTGACAGTACATCTGTAAACTTGATCCATAATTTAAAGTTCAACATTTCATAGGATTTTACATTGCCATTAACTTATTGAGCAATTCATAATTCTCATCTCAATTCATGAGATTTTTGAGCGTGAGATTATAAATGAAACTCACCACAAATTAAATCTATAGTACACAAATTGACGGGTAAAAATACATCAAATGCGTCTCCATTCACGTGCTGCTCAAGTTGGTCGACAAAAATATTCACATGATAGAAGAAGTTTTCGTCAAAAGTTGTCAGGATTTTCGTCCTGAAACACGGGTTTATCATCTTTCGTATCAACCGCCAGTCATCTCCTATTAGAAATGGAAATGTATCATAATACTTTAGTTTCTAAAAAATCTTAACAATATTATCAATTTTGTTGAACCTTCACTATGAAAAAGGGAAAAACAGAAGGATATAAAGCCGCAGTCGAACCTCCTATCAATCTTCCCTTGCATATCACACTGTAAGACAAGTTCTGATCCTCTTTCAGCTAAGAGCGTTATTTAGTACTTAATATTTTCTTAGACGACTCCGAACAACTTGGATTTTCGCATCTATAACTTTCTTCACCGTTCATTTAAGTCTCCGAAGTGTGTTTCTTCAATATTGTCTACTTTATTACTTTAAAGTTTACGGATTTGCCTTTGTTTTAAAAACTAAACAAGAAGACATTCCGACATGAAAGTGTCGTAAAAGCGTGCCGAACAACTGAAGTGTTGGAGACATTCTATTTTCATGTCTTTGCTATTTGTATAAATCGGTACTTTTTGCTAAATTTAGGGAAACATATTAATCATTAATGTTGAATGTAAATTAACTTCATTGAAAAAAGGAAATAACATCATTAATTTGGGCAAACATGCAGCTGATTGTACGAAGGAGGTATAGTCCAGTATTTTTGTTTACCATTTTGACTCACAAGAAAATGTTCGTACATTTGTATCTAGTATTAATTATTTGCAATTATTTTTTTGATGATTGGTCTTAAACATTCTATACAATCACTAAAAATAATCTCCTCGGTGGGACTTGAATCCTTGCCTCGGTGTATGGTTTTCGCGCATGCACGCGTGAGGGTTGGGGAGTATTGATACATGAAAAATCGGATCTGATGGGAACAAAATTGGACCGCTCATTGAATAGTGTTGGTTTATTGGTGTGCTGTACTATGGTACATCCGCGTGATTTAAAAAAGCGAGTCCGACTGGCACGCCTAAAAAGTGCATATAAAACTCACCGGAAGATACGAATATTCCGTTTACAACATTGGTCGTGTTTTGAACTCTGAAATGTTCGTAGTGACGAAATTTATCGATATTTTGCTGACTTGACAAAATCGCCTGAAACCAACCATAAAAAGTATTGAACGTCAACATGAATGTGTTTAAGCGAGAAAATTTTAATTTTAAGGTACCGAAATAATTACTTTAAATTTAATAAGTTTACTCCGAGGGTCTATTCTTACATTTTGGCAGCTTGCTAGTATATTTTTGCATTTTAGGAATGAAGGGGGAACTGAAAACAAAGACGATACAGTTTTTCCATAACTGCAATGCACTCTCAGCTCTCTTAAGTCCATCACTATATGTATGTCTACAATTACATCGGTAAAGTCGCATGCACTTGTGCTTGAAGTCTGAAAAGATTAAGTAAAGAAAAAGAAGATAAAAACAAATTATTTTGCATTGTCAATGTATTACTTATCATATTGATTATGAAACTACAGCAATGCGTAGTTCGGTTTGCGGCGTTACAGGACTTCTTGTCATATACTTAACTTTCTACATGGAAAACAACTGAACGTCATTTCTAGAAAATTTTAGTGAAATGAATATTCTCACCGAAAAAAAAAAATTGAAGTTGATTTAACATTCTGTCTGTAAAGAAAGTGTGTGAGAACTTATATACCCGCTGTAGCAGTTACTTTAGCAATGCCAGGATGTAAAACTAACTGCTGTGGCGTTTTATAAGTACTCGCACACTTTTTCTACATCTAGAATGTTAAATCAACCTCACTCTTTTTTCGGTGCTTTGTAAACTTTATCCCACGATGTTGGCTTGGTCTCATTTAATTAATAAAATAAAATAGGATTAGAGATTTCGAGCATTTTTGTAGATTCAATATCGATGTACTGTTTTGATTGCTATCTATTTTAACTGCTTTTTCCCTTGTAGCTTTTGTGGTTAATTATAATTTTTTAAGTAAACTTTAAATGATTAATTCGATAAATTCAAAACTACTGTACAGTTTTGAAAATAACCCTAGTATCATTGATTTTGCACTTTCCATCATTCTTTCATTCTACCATTCAATTCCAAAGATTAAGAAATACTTGTGATAATTGTACGGCGCGTTCCAGCGACATCGTGCGTATCGTAGTTAGACTAATTTCAGTTATATTTGCTTCAATAATAATACTCTGTCAAACCATTTAAAATCAATAATAGCTTACTCACGTTGAAAGTTTCCCGATCACCAGTGATTAAATGAGGCTCTTCGCCATCCTAGTATCCACCAATTTTCGGATAGTGCTTCACAAATGATTTTAGTCTGCCGCAAACATCTGAAATGTCACAAGTTTTTCTCTAACTCAAACTGTAAAACCTCAAAATTGCAACTCAACTGCTCAATTGCAACTGGGAAAGTGCACTAAGAAAAAATAATTGGTTGCGAGGACTGCTCATATTGAATACCAAAATATTTCGGTTCAGCTTACTGAAGTTTTCGATCGTAGGAACCAAATTTTGGTCGGCGCATCGGCGGATCGAAGGCGGCATATGGGACGTAACCCCCCCCCCCCCTCGGTTTGCCTGAAAAGTAGGAAGAAAAAGGGAGAGAAGAAAGAAGGAAGTACCGGAGGAAAGAAGAAGGGAGGATGCTTGTATTTGGCGATTTTTCATGACGATATTGACTTAAACTGCATGTTAGATGCTTCAAAATTTCGACAATTTCCTGGGAGAAGTCCCCTGAATCTTCTTCCGCCCCCTCTTCCTCCCTCCGTTCGAAATGTCTAGATCCGCCTATGGGTTGAAGGAACCAAAATGTGGTTCCGCGACCGAAAAAATCGATTACCCGTACAAAAGAACTTTGGTGTTCAATATGAACCGACTTGTTTCTCCGTGTCAATTCATGTGCATTAAAAAAACGCTGAATACTTTTCCCTTGAAATGAGAGTAATGTTTGGAGCTTCATGAATGCTAATACATTTATTTTTTTGAACTACATGTTTTTATTTTTGTCGTGCTTTTTTATTGACAAAAGGCATATACTTCCCCTTTTTTTGAATCTCAATATTTGTCAGATTTGAGACCTAGTATTTTAGCGTTAAGGTGATTCGATGGACGCCATATTTTGTGTCAGAACGGCATGCGATATATCGCATCAGTTGGTTCCATTTTTTCAGCTACTCGTCATTTTTCTCCAATTATGAGATCGCAATTCTGTTGTCAGGAGACTAAAGCAATCACTTACCAATTTTAACAAAGAAATTCAACGTAATGGCGTGGTTTTTTTAGAGAGAAAATATCGCATTCAAATGCAGTTTCGATAACAGTATCGAATGCGATGTTTTCTCTCTACATAAAAAACGCCTTTATTACGTTGAATTTCTTTATTAAAATTGGTTAATGAGTGTTTTAGTCTCCTGACAACAGAATTGCGATCTCAAAATTGGAGAAAAATGACGAGTAGGTGAAAAAATGGAACCAATTGATGCGATATATCGCATGCCGTTCTGACACAAAATATGGCGTCCATCGAATCACCTTAATCACTTTAATGATCTTCGATGAAAAAACCTAAAGATCTTAGCTACGGCACGTAAATTCGTAAAAAAACTGTTAACGTCTATTTCAGGATAAAAATACAAGCCATAATTTTTACAAAATTGATAAAAACAGTTCATGATAAAACTTACTACTCATGGTGATTCCTAAAAGTAAATAATTCGCTCCAATAAGAGGGAAAGCGATGGGTCCAGGAATTGAGGCCATAAATGCGTACTGTTTTCTGTGTCTCCACCTTTGGATCAGTGTTTTTACAAACAGCGCGACCAGTACACAAATGCACAACACATCGGTAAAAGTCAGTCGCACTCTGGTGAAAGCCATGTCGATCTAAAGGTACACAAATAATAAATCATTACTCGAGAAGTGAGAGTGCCTGCCGTGGTGAGCTAGCTGACCTACACGTTACAAATTTGATAATAAAATTATGCTAATTTTGTGAGGTTATGACCGCCTCGTTTTTACTGTGTGATCCAAAAGTTTTGCATCATCCCAATAAGCTTTTACTTAAGCAATCAAGGTGAAACATTGGAGCTCTTTTTGTTCCTATGCTAAAAGGAGATACCTTGATGGCCTTTCACTGAGGAAAATTTGATAAGGGCCCTAACAGGGGCACAAAATATACCTTTATTTGTAGGAAAGCATCCTCTGCTTTGTGATTAATCGTTGGTAGGATCATAAAAAAAGAGAAAAAAAGGCAATAGGTTCAGATCTCTACAGTATATCACTGCTTGCAAATAAGGGCTACTTAAAGTAAAAAAAAAAAAAAAATGAACTACTTGAAAAGGATCTTGGCAACTTTTGAGTCAAGTTCCTTTAAACGCTTATCATGGAGTTTCTGCTGAAAAACCAGAAACGAATTCAGTTATAGTTTTTTCAAATTATACAAAATTGTTTAAGTCAGTGATCTAAGATGGGTAAAAATATTGACTGTTCAGTGGATGTTTTAAACTTGATATTTGGTTGATTTTGAGGTTTTTGGAAGAAGAGCGAGGGTTCCGTTTGAAATTTGTGTATAACCCCCAGATACTAAAAAAAACCTCAAATACTAAGATTGAAGTAAATCAATTTATAGGTTGCTTAGGTACTTTTTTCGGCCGTTTTAAACTTTAACCTCTGCCATTATGATACGGTGACAGGTATAAACCAGAACTATGCGCCAAGAATTTTTTTTTCATGCTCTTTCTTGTATAACAAAAGTAGGATCATTCATTTGAAAGGGTCCTATCCCCTCTCTTCCTAATTGCAGCCCTGCATTTTAGGGCGACTTAATAATACCTTTTTTGACCTAGATACAACGCAAAAGTTTCAAATCGATCAGCAAAAAAGTTATTGAGATTACACGAGACTTTTGGATCACAATGTAGATGAACGGCGATGTTATGATACTAATGATGGATAATGTTCCCCATGAGATTGCTTCGCAGCTATCTTTGGAAAAACATTGCTCCGGATTCCTCTCAGTGACTTGAGCCGAGCAGGATTAGATCGTTGTGCTTACATCGTCTGAGGCGAAATTACTCTCGTTTTATTTCTGTCACCTGGAAACCGCCAACAATTCCTCACCTTGAATTTTAAATTTTTAAGCGCTCAACCTTTTTTTAATTTCGACCTGCCCAAAGACTTCTAGTAGAGTACTGGCAATGCGTTCAAATGGACGTATTTCTGCCAAACGGAACTATGTGCATTGTGACGTGAGGCTTGTTGAACCACTTTTTTTACTTTCACGCGCAGAATTCTCACTTGTCCTCAGCGTTTCTGCAGTGAAAGAAAGTAGGAGGTCCTTTTATTGGAACGTCTTTGTATATTAAAGGGAACAATATCCATTCTGACATGATCCCTGAGATCCATAAGCATAAGAATGCATGCATGACAAGGAAATTCGGAATATTAGATGAGGGGGAAGTGGCAGAATGGTTCACTCTGTACGATTAGAGAGATGTCGAAGGGCTCCTAGGAGGGATACTCGGTTTCTAAGAGAATCCTGTGGCCCAGGATTTAGCCTGACAACATCAGATCAGAATTGAGTGGCCTAAATTTCACGTTTTTTTACAGACAGCCAAAGTTTAAATGTATGCTTTAAGCAGTTGGGGTGTCCGGGAAAACATTATGTAATAGAAATTCCATTTCATTAAATTATAAACTTTAATATTTTAAGAATTCGTGAAAGAAAAGTATTGCCTTTACACGCTTTAACTTTTATTTCTATTGATTAATATTTTCCCACTGTCATGCATTGTAATACCACATTATTTAGTGAATTTAATTGTTGAGTTCGAGGGTATGGTGGAGATGATGGGCTCCTGGTCCAAAATCTAAATAATTTGAGCGAAAAATGAAACCACAAGCTAGTAAAGGCGAGACTTTTCTTTTATGAATTATGTTCGTAAATATCACGCAAAATTCGTTACTCTGATTAAATAATTTCATTGCACTATGCTACACTAGGGGAGAAAAAGGGGAAGGGGGATTCTTGGGCGAAGGTTGAAGGTGCAAAAAGAAATTCCAATGTCCATTGCTATCATTTGTGCCTAGTAAAGACTATCGTCGATGGTTTAACGCATTTATCTACTTTTCTGACTCCGCGTTTAAGTCTCCAAAAATATGCACGTTCGAAACAACGTTAGTGCGTTGAATGATTGTACCGATATATACCCATGAGAGATTACAATTTCGAATAGTTGCGAGCTCCTAGATCAACAAATACTTTAACTGGCATCATTATAGCTTTTAAAAAGATAAAGCATATATGCTGGAAAATTAGGCTTGCCTGTAGGGACTTTTCGACTTAGCATCCTACACTCGGCACTCACTTTGTCTCACTGTGCCTGTAAAGAGAGAGTAAGGCCCTTCATATATTTTTACGTATTGGAAGGATGTGCCGCTTTTCCATCGGTCCATGATTGGTAGACGGTTATTTCGCTCTTTACGGCTGTGGGTAAACAAATATTCCTGGTGGTTGATAGCCTTTTAGTCCGGGCGCCTGCTAGCTAAAAATGAGGCTACCTGGAATCTCGGGTACACAGCGATTTTTTTGGCTTACTTTATGTTTTTTGGGTTGCTGAATCCGAATCTGAAGTTTCCTACCGCGTATCTGGTAAGCATTTTCCGCCATTTTAAAAAAATGACCTAAAAAGGCCTTTTTTGCGGTTTTTTTTATATAGCGGCTACGCGTGAGAAAAAGTCCCAGATTTAGTTAATGATTTGAATAGCTGACATAATTTGAAAGAAAATGGTGTACACATCTGCTAGGTTTTCTTAAAAATTGAGGAAGATGTACAGCATTGAGAACATCGCGCCCATTTACGTTTTCGCGGCGCACCCGTCAACGCACGAACCGGCTCGCCGCGGTCAGCCAAGTTCCGAAGCTTTCCAAAGTTCCGAGATCCGAAGTTCCTCAATTTTTGAGCAAACTTAGCATATTCATAAACCATTCTCTTCCAAATTATGTCAGCTATTCAAAACATTAACTAAATCCGGGACTTTTTCTCATGCGTAGCCGCTATATAAAACAAAACCGCAAAAAAAGGCCTTTTTAGGCCATTTTTCCAAAATGGCGGAAAAAGCTCACCAGATACGCGGTAGAAAACTTCAGATTCGGATTCAGCGACCCAAAAAACATAATGTAAGCCAAAAAAATCGCTGTGTACCCGAAATTCCAGGTAGACTTACCAGGCGCCTGGACTATTCAGAAAAAGTATGCCGACCATATCACGAAAAAAACTTAATAAGGTAAAAATAAATGATATCGCATTTTTAGCAACATTTTATGCTTACACTGGTAAAAAAAACCTCTTGGACCAATGCCGCGGCGCATTGACTTAAGAGTGCAGTTTCTTGTCGCCGGATTTAAGAGTCTTGAACTCTTGTTTCAAGCGGATTTTGCATTGATTCAATTCAAAATCCGCTTGAAACAAGAGCCCAGACTCTTAAATCCGGCGACAAGAAACTGCACTCTTGAACCAAGAGGTTTTTTTTACCAGTGTGCATGAGTCAGTTTTTATACTGAATAACATTGACTATACACGTATTAATCTGTGTCGTTAATAACATAATTAATTATATATAATTTACATAATTTCTGAAGTTTATCAAGTATGCGGGCAGTTTTTCTTGGTGGCTGGCAGTCACGTTTGCCCGGAGAGAGACCTAACCTAAATAAAGAAACAATCTCGCGAACTGTTATAAACTCTCCTTGCATATATTTTTAATTAATTCAAAGCCTCTGTGTTTGCAAAATAAAGAAAGAAAAGGAAACAAGCGCTTGAGAACGATTGAAATCATACAACATATAAAGTTAATGAAATCGTTTGTTTACTCAAGTTAATTTTTTTTACTCCTCTGATTGTACTAGAGTCCCTTTATACCCAGAGTTAAGACAACTCGATTATCAGCTGACTGGCAGCCGGCCTTGGCTGGCCATGGAAGCCGAAACGAGTGCACCCAAACGAACGATATTGAGGGATAAGGATCAGGAATCCTGCGATGTCTGTCACACAAAAACAACAACATCAAAGAAAATGAGATTGGTTTGTGAATAATTTCTTAATCTATTTTCATTTTCGACCGATGGAAATAACAATTTACTCTTGATAAACCACGATTAGGTAATATTTTCATTATTCTTGCTCACATTCGAGGTACCGCCATCTTGGTGCACTCGTTTCGGCCTCCATGAGCGAGAACCAATCAGAATTGGATTTTTTTTAGGCCACTTTCAGCCCAACCCTGGCCCAACCAAAAGTGAGTTGTCTTAACTCTGGGTATAAAGGGACTCTAGATTGTACAAACATGGTTGGCGGTGACTGAGAGAAACTGCCCGCTGACGCGGCAAACTTCAAAACTAGCGTGTTACAAACTACGCAAATTGCGCACCAAGGAATGGATTTTAGACTTTTTAACATTAACACACCAAAGGGCAGAAAAAGAGATATCAGTTGTTTGTTGAGCAGAGCATAATACAAAATCAGCGAACATTGTAATACAATGTCTGAAAGGTAGTAGCACTGAATATATTGGTATTTGGAGTGTAGCAGAGTGCTAGAAATAATGTAAAATTTTCTTTAAAAAACTTACATTTTATTAACAAACTCAGGCCAAAGCTTTTTCGATGCAAACGCTTCATCGTCAGGGTCACAATTCGATATCACAAAGGCCATAATTTAATTTCAAACAAGTTAACAGATTTCATTGATGGTAAAAATTGATAACAAGCTATTCACAATTATATTATTCACATAAATTTTACATTATTTCTATCACTCGGTTGCACTCCAAATACCAGAGTAAAGAATACGAGAGAAATACCAGTCGAAAAAATTGCACTGACCTTCGATAATCGTTGAACTAGTTCTGATTTGAACATACCCAGATGAAAATTCACTTAACTCTCGCCGAATACAGCACTGGCAAGACTTGAGCACTTTTGATAAGCTCTCTTCAATATATTCGCTCTCACAGCGTGTCACTCATCCCCTACACCTGGGATTCTTCACCACCGAAAAAGTGGCCCGTAGACATTCGAGGTGATTTTCGCAAAAAAGTTGCCGCACAATTTTTTTTTTATTCCAATCAATCTGCGATGAGATCTAATTGTTCCTTCCATAAAAAGATCCTCATCTTGTGAGGATTATCGAGACGTAAGCCGTCATGGATGAATTTTTCCGGCAATCAGTCTCTCTCACATACATTCGTAAAAACTCCCAATCCTGAATCAAGCAAAAAATCTGCGAAGAGCTCAATTTTTATGTCTTCTTGACGTTACTACGAGCAAAAACGAGCCACAAAAAAGGAGATACAAATTTATTTGTATGTTTAGTACAAGATTGCACAATCATCACATATACGGAGGAAAAAACCTCGTGCGTGGGACCCGAGGTTTAGGTCATATGGATCTCTGAAGTTTTCAGATTGAGCATCTAAACACTTAAGGTCTAGCTGTCGAGGTTCGGATCACACATCTGAAACTTCAGCTCTTAAATCTGAAGTACTTCAGATGTGAGAGCCGATGTTTTTTGGATGTGAAAACCGAAGTACTTCAGATGTAAGAACTGAAGTTTCAGATGTGTGATCCGAACCTCGACAGCTAAACCTTAAGTGTTCAGATGCTCAATCTGAAAACTTCAGAGATCCATATGACCTAAACTTTAGGTCCCACGCACGAAGTTTTTTTCTCCGTGTAGGTTGCAGCGTAATTACCTATCTCTTCATCTCTCATTTGATATTTTCATAATTTTAAGGAACTCAAACTTCCACTGGTTCTTTCTCTATTCGAAACGTTCTGCGATGGCTCCTAGTCAAACCATCATCAACTGACAGTCAAATTGTTGGTCAATGAATTTTCCTGATCGCCAATTGAAAAGTTGCGAGGGCGAATTAATGTCTCTGAATTCCTCATAATTTCTCTCTATTTTCTCAATGATGACAAAGAAAAAAGACAGCTAATTGAGTGACTGAGGATACGCTGGCAGCAATCTAAACAGGTCTCAGTTGTCTCCAACATTAAACAAAGACTCAATGTACTAAACTCAATCCGGCCTTGACAATGATCCCAGTTGTGAGAATCGTGTTTTATTTTGAACTCCGATATTTTCTGCATTTATGACAGGACCGCACTGATCGGCACAGCGTTTTTCTCTTTTAGCAGAGCATACTTGCATACGCCGTGAAAAAGTGAATTTTAACAGAACCTTCTACTAAGCGTCAAAAAGCGGATTAAATGAAGAAACTTCAATTGAAATTCCACAAAAACATCTTACACTGGAAAAAAAACCACTTTGGATCTAGAGTCTAGACTCTTGAAAACATTGACAAGAAAAAGAACTCTTGATTCAATCAGATTTAAGCTTGAATCAAAAGAAAATCTGCTCAGATTAAGAGGCTTGGTTCTTGATTTAAGCTTAAATCTGATTGAATCCAGAGTATTTTCTCTTGTCGATGTTTTTAAGAGTCTGGACTCTAGATCCAATGTGTGTTTTTTTCCAGTGTAAGTTCTGAACGTTGAATATAAATGTTATGTTGAATCTTATAAGTTATAGATAAATACACCGTATAAGAAATTCGTGCCAGGCATCGACTTTTATTTATTTGTATCAGGTATAAATTGTATAACAGGGAATCAAATTACATTGTTTTCTCAGTCTTACATTATATCATTCTATTCTCGGATTTATTGCACTTATAAATTGTACATTTTCCTCAAAAGTACGCATTTTATCAGAAGAAATTTGGCATCATCTGGATGTTTATACGGCGTTTTTTCTCAGCATGGTAGAATTCCAGAGTCACTGCTGCCTTCAGTAACGTGGCAGTATCCCAAGTAGCAGTGATCGCGATAAATAGCGATTGTATCTATTGATTATCGCGATTATATCGGTGGCAATTTATCGCAATATCATGGAATAAAAAATTGCGATTAATGGCGATTAAATCGCTATGCATCGCAATTTTTTGTTAATTAAAATCGCGATCAATTTTCATCGATATAATCGAGATTAAATCGCCATATATCGCGATTTTTGTTGCGATAATATCAGGATAAATTGCCGGGCGATAAAATTGCGATTTTATTACAACAGGATCGAGGATAATCGCTCGGATGTTGATGATCTTAGCGATTTTATCGCCGACAAAATCGTAACAAATCGCGATTTTCATATTGAAAAATGCCACTTAGGGTGATAGATACTTGAGCAGAAAGAAAAGAGAGACAAAGGATCGAATCCTCTCGTTAAATCAGGCAGCGGCGTGAACCTGGGTCTTTTCAGGCTCTTGGCGCCTTCGGTGGAAGCGCACTCGCCATCCGTTGATCGGACAGACCAAAAGGGCGATACGATAGTCAAGATCGTTGATGATGTCCGTTGGCGTAGGTTCTGAGGAGGAGCAATTGAAATTGAGCATCATGTTGGCCACCAGAATCTTCACAACTCGCACGGCGTATTTGTTACCTAAAACATTCATAGATGCAAGTGAGTAAGTAAGTAAGCAAATAAGTAGGTAAGTTAGGGGTGGACGCATCGGCGGGAAGCCCTCGAAAGGCGAAAGCGAAAGAAACCTCATTCTGTAAAACTTTAAAATTCAGTGATTGATATCAAGGCATAAATGCCCAAGTAGCATTTTTCAACGGAAAAATCGTGATTTGTTGCGATTTTGTCGGCGAAAAAATCGCTAAGATCATCAACATCTGAGCGATTATCCTCGATCTTGTTGCGATAAAATCGCGATTTTATCCCTCGGCAATTTATCGCGATATTATCGCAACAAAAATCGCGATGTATGACGATTTCATCTCGATTTTATCGACGAAAATTGATCGCGATTTTATTGAACGTAAAATTGCGATGCATAGCGATTTATTCGATAATATTGCGATAAATTGCCACCGATATAATCGCGATAATCAACCGATAAAATCGCTATTTATCGCGATCACTGCTACTTGGGTGAGTGACCAACGCATATGTGGGGGACGGGGAGGGGGGATGAAGGCAAAAAAATTCGGACCAAACAGGAGTTGCGTCATTTTGGGTATATTCGTGCAACGTAGTTTTGCGAATAAATATGTTCTTCGAAAATTTTTTGGGAATTGGGGGGACCTTCGACTGGGGAGTAGGTTTATGGAAAAACTTTGAGACAAGTAAAACAAAGTATTTTGCTCTATAAAACAAGCTCATTTGGTCTGGCGGTTACCCGCTGCGATATCCTGGATAAATGCCTTAACCACTTCAACCAGGGACAAGTTCTATTGGACACCGCACTCTCGTGAGCAGCCCAATCACAGCGCGACCTTGCGTAGGATCCTCGTAAACTCCTAGGATCCTTCCCCCCAAAGCTTGGCCCATTCATCGCTCGCTCCAAAAAAGCGGTTAAGCCATTATTATATTAGCCCGAAAGGTGGCTGATTTCTTGAAAAATAATTACATTTTTGACGTTTTCCGACCCCTCTCGACAGGAAAGGGTCCACCACCCAATCACTCCGGGTGAAAATTTCGATTTCTAGCAGATATGTGATCCTGCGGATATTTTGTGAAGTCCGGCTTCTGACAATGGTAAATATTTGCCAAAATCATACGCGCGGTTGGAGCACTAGTAACTGCTCACGAATTTATACATCGACTCTTTCATCCTCTAGCTCGAGGGTCCCATAGAAATTGTTCCATAACTCAACAGTCAACATCCTTGGGTAATATTAGCATTATTCAAGGGCGTGATTAAAAAAAATTGGTAAGTCAAAAGAATTCGTAAATGAACTTTGGTATGGATAAGAAAACACAGAAAGGGTGGGCTCTATCCATCAATACCTGGACAGTTCCTCGGTCCGCTAGAAAAGGGCAGGTAGACGCCTTTCGGTCTTTTGGCTTCGTTTTCAGGAGAGAAATGTTCTGGGTAAAACTCATTGGGTCTCTCCCAGAATCTTGGATCATGGTGCAGTCCAAAAATTGGCATCATGACGTTCATTCCGGCTGGAATTACCATATTATCTAAAAATAAAAATTAGGAAAGTTTGAATTAGCTTTTCTTGGACTACAAATTTCAATAGGTCACTATATCGAATATCATAAACAAATTTTGACTTGCGAATACATTTTTCCAAAGGCATATGTCGCATAAAACACGATGTGCATACATTAAAAACACGAAAAAGTAACTCAGAAACTAAGAGATCCGCCATTCAATAAGCACCATTTCACTGCAAAAAAGCCCGGGTTTTGCGCCAAACCAAATGTTATCCTGCACCAATCGAAAGCGAGCTTTAGTCTCTACGACTTCCGTCAAATTTCATTCTACTCCACGTATAAGAACACAATATGTATATTTCGAAACTACATCTTCAGATAAAAAAATCTAATCCCATTCATGTTACCTGTAGGGAACAAGCAAAAATTTCATATTGAAATACGTTTTATATTAAGAAACATAAATCAAAAATGAGAGGAGGTAGCAATTTGACTGCTGTTGTACTTCACTGCCATCATTTTTCCGCCATTCTGGCGCGTTTTGAATTCCTCTGAATCTATGGAATTTTTAACAGCTGCATTGTCCGGGATTTTGGCTGCAAAAATACGCAATAAATCACCCTCGTTATCTACTCAACTGTTACTTTCAGAATATTAAATAAAAAACACAAGATTAGTGACCCCTTTTGAGATTTTGCAATTTAATCATGCAACTGGAGCGAGAAATATGTATATTCAACAGGAGAGTCTATTGAAATTAAAGAAAAAGGCTAGTTTTAGAGTACCTGATTTCAGGCATTTTTATTTATTTTAGAATTCTATACTAGGAGCACCCTGTACTATACACAAGCAATTAAAACTTACCATTGACCCTGATGTCACTCGTAATGTGTCTAGCAATGATGGGCAGTGTGATATGTCTCAATAATTCTTTGACGATCATGTCCAGGTACGGTAGCTTCGACAAATCCTCCTGCGTAATTTCTCTCACGCCACAAACCTCGATAAGTTCTCGATACATTTTATCCGCCATGTTTGGATACATAGCTGCGCCCTTAATAAGCCACGCAATAGATATAGCAGAGGTCAAGGATCCCTGAAAAGTTAAAATTACAGATTATTATGCTCTTGATGCATGTATATTGCATATTCATTTTCAGCGTGAAATTTAATTTTTCGTCGCATTTAAATATTGAGGAATGATTGCATTTTTTAGAGCATTAGGGTTATATCAATAGTTTATTACACTCTGACAAGTAGTTAACTGCTGGACGAGCAATATGAAGTGAGCACCGATTCATGTCAGTGCTCAAATCAGTGCTCTTATGGAGGCCAACCTGAATGAGAAAAAGTGTCTTGATCACATTTCTTATGCAGCATTCAAGAGCGAATTAACATTCGTTTTCATTTGTGGAAGAAAATACATTTTTAATTTACCACCAATCTCCGTTAGAGCAAAAGGTGACGCGACGTGCTGTCAGCGCGAGGCGCGCACTGGCGCCTACGAACCTAGGGTGATACTTCACGCATTGCGTAATGCTTGAAGTATCCCCTTAGGTTTGTAGGCGCTGGCCGGCTGCTCACCGCGCCGCAAAGTGTCACGGCGCCTCAAGCAACTATTTCACCACAGAGGTGTTGCACAGTATCATACGAAATTGAAGGAGCTCCAACATATTAAGAATAACAGGCATCCTTTAAGAGTACGGAGCTTTCCGCACACAATGATACAAGATACTACGGAACAAACAGAACGGTGGCCCAAAAACTCACTAAGTCCTAGCATTCGTAATTAATACGGTTTAGCATAGTTTTTGAATTTCATCAGAGAGAAAAGTGACTTGATTCAGACAGAAACATTCTTGAGTATGCCGTCAAGAAGATTTTATTTTGAATTAAGAATATGAACCACACAAATTTAACATTTTGAGGTTCATTTTAGACAGTTCTATGTGCTCAGCGTAACTGTTGTGCGATATCCCCAACTCACATTCTATCCTTACAATTCGTTGGTGATGCCTGAGTATATATTTTTGCGCAACAGATCCACTTTCCGTCCTGTACTTTTGATGTCCTTACTAATGCGAATTATTCCTCATGATAGTATTTTATATACTAAATGTATGGAATAATGTTATGTGTAGTACACTGGAAAAAAAAACACATTAGATCTAGAGTTCAGACTCTTAAAAACATCGACAAGAAAAAATACTCTTGATTCAATCAGATTTAAGCTTAAATGAAGAACCAAGCCTCTTATTTTGAGCGGATTTCCTTTCGATTTAAGCTTAAATCTGCTTGAATCGAGAGTCATTTTTCTTGTCAATGTTTTCAAGAGTCTGGACTCTTTTTTCAGTGTAGTAAAGGGGCCAGTGATTATTTCAACATAAGGATGTATGAGACTTACAGCTACGAACAATTCGATGATTTCTTCAATGCACTGCTCTCTTGAGATCTCCTTCGATTCAATGGCATCGATTAATAGCTCGAGAAAATACTTTGGCTGCCCTGCGAATAACAAAACAATTTGATATATTGAGTTTGAAGTGTCCGAGCAATGACGATTGCTAGGAATGGACCAGTTAGACAAGGTACGAATTGCCGCATTCTGATACATGTTTCTGAACCAAAATATCACATAAAATACAGTGCGCACAGCGAAAATGACTGAAATCAACTCCTTACGAAGATAACTAATTATTCTTGATGCGTGAATTTAAACCACCCACTCATGAAAACTCAATGTTCATACCGCGCGCTAAACGTTATCATGACAGTCTCTGCGATATAAAAATCTGACAACCTCAATCTTGACGCTTTGGCTCAGCTACAGCAAATTGCTTATAGGATGAACAACACACGGTGGGAAATGAACGTTGCTTGTTTGAGAAGCTTGCTGAAACCTTTGTAGTGGGCGATTTGACTCACGTAGAGCTTTGAGTTTCATGTGAGCGAGCAGTTCAAATTCTTCGTAACCAATGTGAAATTAAATCGTTTATATCTTCGTAAGGAGTTGATTTTAGTAATTTTCTTTGCGAGAATCGTGTTCTACGTGAAATTCTAGATTAGAACTAGTGTCAGATTGCTTAAATTCGTACCTTGTCTAGTGGTCCATTCACAGATTGTTTCCCTCCCTATTTGACGTAAACAGTGAGATCTGTAGCTCCCTTGAAAAAGGCCCAAACAACTTTATAAGGCCCAAAAAATAGTTCATATTAAACCAGGAGCACTCCCAGAGTTTCAAGCCTCAATTTTCATTTGTTTAAAAGTTGTGCCCCACGACTAACGGGTTGCCTTGTATTCCTACGGGCAAACATTCACCTAATATTATTTTGGGATAATGTCTTGACATTATTAATCATGTATTCCCTTTCATTAAGAAACAGATCCATCTTGAATTGAAGTGTTCGTTTCCTGCAACCATTACGTTCCTAAGTATCAGAGTGAAGTAATTAATAGAGGCCAAATAAACTGGAATAAAAAGGGGGGAATTTGAGAGAAATCCTTCATAACTTTTGGACAATTTAATCCAAGAATGCCCTTAAATAACAGGTCAAAAGCTCATTTTGTTCTCATTAAATCGATGAGTGCATTTTTTCTCCATGTCACTTTTAACATTCTTACCTGCCTTTATATCTTCTTTCCTCTGCAGATCTTCCATTGCAAGTCTTTTATTCAGTACCTGCAAACATATCATACCAAGTCCATTTACTGCTCAGCTATCAATAACATGTTAATTTACCTCACGAATGGCTTGAAAATAAATATTTTAAGGTTTGACCGATGAACCTTCAAATTAATCTGCTCAGATGTATTTCCTGCATCAAAGATAATTGATAGTAATAATGTCAAAATTATATTTGCTATCGATAGTTACCCATTTTAAAAGGAATTATATCCGACGTGTAAAATAGCTCCAACTACATTATTTGAAATGGCATCTGAGAGGAAGCTAATTAAGCCTTTCAGCAGAGTTTCAATTGTGTAGGAATTTGACCATGCATAGGATTAAGACCTTCATACATACATACAAGTCGCTTTACAGCACTCCCTCGCGCTCTACGACTCCTAACCTCCACTGCTCTCTTTCAAACCACAAATCTTGGGGGATTGAGCACCTCAACATTTCTGCTTCAATCCCGTCCCTCCAACCTTTCAATGGGCGCCCTCTGCGTCTTCTCCCAGGAGGAACCCAGTCAAGGACCTTCTTCGGCAACCTGTCTCCTGCCATTCTCTGGGCATGACCATACCAGATGAGTTGTTTTGTCATAATGTCATGCACGATGGTCTGCTTGGCATCCATGATATCCCGTACCGTCTCATTCCTGACGCGATCCTTTCTGGAAATACCAGCGGATCTACGCCAGAAGTCCATCTCTGTTGCCTCTAAAACCTCCCGGGTCCGCTGTTTCATCGGCCATACTTCACACCCGTAGGTTACTATGCTCTTGACAATCGTGTTGTAAATCCTCCTTTTGTTCTCTTTGGAGATCCTTTGGTCCCAAAGGACTCCATTTAACATAGCGATTGCCCTCCTACCCAGCATATTCCTCTTCTTGATGGCCTGGTCCTATCTTCCATCCTGGGTTAAAAACACTCCTAAATATTTGTAAATATCGCAGCTTCCAATTTGCCGCCCATCCTCTAATTCTATACTTTGCTGATTCCCGCCAACGGTCAACTTCTCGGTTTTGCTGACATTCACCTCGAGGCCCCATTTCCGATACTCAGCCATCAGCCAGGTGGCTGAGTATCGGATTAAGACCTTCCTAGGGGTAAAAATGTCAGTATGACTTGATTTGAGAATTTTCGATATACGTTTTGCATTCACTTTGTTGTTAACAGTTGCTACGCTATAGGTTAAGCTATTTTATTTAGGAATGTTCTGCCGCCTAAGGAAAAACGCCGTATATGAACCTTCAAACGTTGCCATATTTCTTTCAATAAAAACCGACTTTACTAGGAAATGTTTACTATTTTTTGCCAACTATCTCAGACAATTTTGGTCGAAATTTAATCTAAAATGTTTGAAAATTTTAAGGGAAAATGAGAATTTTCCTAAAAAATACACGTTTTATCCGGGGAAAATTGGCAACCGTCGAATTTTCTTGCGGCGTTCTCCCTTAGCAGGACAGTATTATCATTTGATGTTTCCAAATATTTTCATTTTTCTTTGATGTAATGGGAATGACAATTAAAATCAGTTTAGAGTTGAATGCGGCGAATAGTAAAAGTTGATTTCTGTGTCGGATTGAGTAGGTAGTTTATTTAGCGTAAAAAATAACTCCCCCGTTTTTTTTTTTTTTTTTTTTTTTTTTTTTTTTTTTGGTAGAAAAATGCATTGAGACGGAGGACGGTCCAGCATAACCCCATGATATTTGCATTTAAAAGTTTTTCAAGTGACGCAGTGAACAACACTTACATCTTCTGCGAGTAGACGCATATCGCGCGATACATCAGCTAGCTTCTTTGTCTTTCCAAGCAGAGAATAGACGAAATCGGACCACAAAAGAGGATTGAATGCTCTCGTAAAGAACATATTCATTGATCTGTAACATAATTGATTGACATTGACTTTAAAATCTCTTCTATGACCTGTACAAACGAGTCTGCCATTGAACTACCATATTGGTTCTGGTGGTGCCAAAACTCGCATCAAAATCTTAATGAGTCAAAGTATCAGATTGAAAATCTACCCAAACAAAAAGAAAAAAATTATTTTCATGAATGTAATAAATGGATTGGATTTTGCAAAAAGGAACCACTAGCATTGCAATGATGCTAAGATTGTGCAACTTCATCCTTTGCAATAAAATTGCGGAAATTGTGAAAAACTATGAAATTTAGATGGTAATTTTTGTCTTAAATTTACAGTTTTTAGCGAGTAAAATAGAAACTATTTAGGGATAATCGGGGTTTTCCTCCTAGACAAAAGAAGTTGCACAATCTTAGCAACATTGCAATGCTAGTGGTTCCTTCTTGCAAAATGCAATCCAAATATACTACTTATTTATTCCATTGATCACCGTTTCTAATTATAGCTCTTTTTGAAAAATACAACTTTGGGAGGAATTCTAAGACACGGAAAAGTAGTATTTCCGATATTTTCCCCTGCTGAGGAAACCCTCAAAGAGTACATTTATTTGGCTGAATCTCTTGCATGCAACAGACCCATTGGACCAATAATTGATTGAGAGACAACACTCATTCTCAAGAGATTGAATACAAAAGGTAAAAACTCTTGGTAACGTAACAACCGTCCTGGATACATACTCCTCGACACTTATAGAAAAGTTAAACAGCCTCCTCTTTTGAATGTCTATCCGAACGCCCAGCATATTATCTGAAACAAGATTGTTTACATTATGTTTTAGGTAACTACTAATTTCATAAATTGTTTGAATTTAAGGTTTTTTTACACAAGATATCCAGAATATTAATAATAGATGATCAAACGTATCTCTTATTTATCTGGATTTGCGACGTTGCGCAGACAATGGACCACTAGACAAGGTACGAATTTAATCATTCTGATACATATTTTTTAACCAAAATTTCACGTAAAACACGATGCGCACAACAAAAATTACCGAAATTAACTCCTTACAATGACATTAAATGATTCCTGATGCGTGAATTCAAACCACCCGCTCATTAAAACTCAATGCTCTACGTGATTCACATCGCGCGCTGAACATTATCATGACAGTCTCTGCGATATAAAAATCTGGCAACCTCAATTTTGACGCTTGCGGGCTCAGCTATAGCAAATTGCTTATAATTTGAACAACACATGGTGGGTTATGAACAGTGATCGATTAAGAGGCTAGCTGAAACTGTTGTGGTGCGCGATTTGACTCACGTAGAGCTTTGAGTTTCTTGTGAGGGCAGTTCAAATTCCTCGTAACCAATGTGAAATAAAAATGTTATTATCTCCGTTAGGAGTTGATTCCAGTAATTTTCGTTGCGCGAATCGTGTTCTACGTGAAATTCTGGTTAAGAAACATGTATCAGATTGCTTGAATTCGTACCTTGTCTAGTGGTCCATTGCGAGAATATCCGATTTGCGTCCCGTTAAATGTCCAAATTGCGTCCCATTAAATCGTTTTAAAAATAATGCAAATGGCAACGTTTCTTACTCACCCCTTTTCCGATTGATATTATTAGGTAAAAAGACGAAGATTAGTGGGGAGAATACAGTAATGAATGTTAGGGGTCGGTTCACAAAAATTTCTCAGACTCTGCTTCATAATATGTGTGAAGTAAAACAAATCTGAGAACCCCTCCCCAGTGTATACGTATTTTTTTAAAAATTATTTGTCAGAAAAAAGAGGAAGAGCACACATTAAAATCTATCGGGGAGTAAATGGCCCGTTCGTCTAACTGAATAAATAAAATTTCACCGGTAAGAATAAACTACTCTCTTTTGATTACCGGAATAGACTGAAGTAAATTTCGGCGAACGGTGAAAGTACAATATACTTTTCGCGTTATTTTTTAAAAGTCACTAAAAGGGGCTATTTGAATTGACTTACCACAAAATGAATCGAGAGTAAAAGCGTGACAGGCTCGGAAAACATCGTGCTCCTCTCCTGTATCAGCAAGGCGGGAAATGCTTTCGAGGAAAATTTTAATATGGTAACTAAAATTGTCATCAAAACTGTCCAGAACGTTTGTCCTAAAGCCAGGATTGACGATTTTCCTTGTTTTGCGCCATTGGTTGCCTGTAAGAGTTGTAACAGACCGATCGATAAGCAATCAAAAGAAAATTATTGTTAGATGTCAGACCTAAGAGTTGAGTTAATTGTATTCATTGAAAGTGCGTACTCAGCAAGTAAATGCAAACAAAATAATCATTTTACCAAAAATCAGATGCTACTTCATGAACTTCATATTAATATGGATTTATAAATATGTATCTTATCTCTGGCAATGATGCAAAGGTAATTAGTGTGCTGATTTTCCTACACGGAAGAAATTGAATGTTGCTTTGGCAAGTATATTGTTAGAAAAATGTGTGACAAGTATAAATGCTGATTTTAAAATAAAAAAATGCTATGTTGACTACGTCCACGATTAAATGGACAAATTCTATGTCGTGCTAGCATTTTTTTTTAAATGTAAAATCAGCATTTGATGCTTTTTGCAAATTTGTTTAACAGTATAAATGCTAAATCAACATTCAGTTTTTCTCCGTGTAATTCTGTTACACTTGTGGACACCAAATCAACGCCTGCATTCACTGGTATGGGCAACATCACATACTGGGAAGCATTTTCCGCTTGGATCAAAATTAGACGAACGAAGTTATCCAGAAAGTAAGTTTACTTATTCAATATCTCCTAAACGGAGATAGATAAAGAAAATGTGTATGAAGCGTTGAAAAGCCACTACTCTAGAATAGTGTACGCTTTACACAGATTTATTATTTTTTTTTTTTTATCTTTCTTAGTTTAGGAGATATTGAATGGGTAAACTTACTTTCTGGACGACTCTCATATTTGCCCTCGATGTAAAGATTGGTCGTGCCATTCCCAAACTTTAAGTATCGAAAATAGTTAGAGAACTCCTGTTCCAGAGTCTGGAACAGTGAATCCAGACTGTGCGTAGGCTGCTGCTTAAATATGAGAAAAATAGGAGATTATTTAAAGTATTTAAATGTGTTCATCACCTGTTGCTGTAAATATTCCAGCACTAATAACTTTAAGACTGTCATAATCCTTGGTCTTATCAATATTCTTCAGATTAGTGACGATTGCCTGAAAAATTTAGTCAGTTAGTGGCTTGAAACAAAGCGGTAGATATATAAAGTTCAGTTTCGTTATAATTTATTACGACAGTCAGAAACCTGAAAACTCATTAGAAAACCTTAAATTTTTAAGTTATACACAGTACATACATACATACATACACCCTTACACACAGTACATATATATTTCTCTTTGATATAGTGCCATCAAAAAGTAGGTTCTTTCAATGGGAATGGATGCTGACAAAAATTCATCATTACAGAGAAACACGTGAGATTAGATAAATAGAGATTTGAAATTTCAGTTTGGAGATCTGGATTTTTTCTAAAAAATACGCAGATCCGAAGAGAATCAGCCTATTTGCATTTCATGTTTCCTAATTTCTTCCTATATATTATTTTTACACAGCAAAATGAGGAATAAGTTATGTTGCGTGATATCTTTTTGAGAATATTTCACGAGGTTTAAAAAATTTACGAACAAAGCTTTGAAGCAAAATTTTGCTTTGTTTTTTGTGCAAAAAAAAACAAACTTGAGAAAAAAACAGAGATCTGATATAGGTTTTGAACTAATTTTGGCGAATGTCATCTAACGTTTATCATTAGTGTTTGAGGAGGTCATGGTATTTCACATTTAAAAGCACCTGCATTTTATCAGATTACCTCGCTCTGTCATAACTTCTCTAATGATAGTTCAATGAAAAGATCGATGATTTCCCGTGCTCAGTTTAGTCAGTAGTTCACATTCAAAAAAGCAGTTCATCAAATTGAAGACACTTGCACATTCTCCATTTGGACTATTCCTGCCAAACAGAACTATGTGCATTATGACGTAAACCTTGTTATGTATATATTCTTATGGGTCTCAGGGCTCATATCATAATGCACATAGTTCTGTTTGGCAGAGATACGTCCATTCGTCTAGTCCATGCCACACATTTTCAGATGTTCCGCGTCCGCCTGCATTTTTCTTCATTGCTAAAGACCGGTTTCGCTCAAAGGGAGATTTCACGAATCTAAGCTATGGCTGAGCTCCCTTACAGGGCAAAAGGTAAAAAAAGTTTTTGCATTTTGTAGTTGCGGTTTTTTTTTTAATTTCTCTCCAGGGAGCCACGAATGCCCATAATTAAGACACATGACTGTCAGCAGACGTGGTAAGAAACATGTGCGCAAATTATTTTGTGGTAATAAGAAAATTTCAGAAGTTTTTCGTGTATGCTCCACTTGATGTTCATAAAATTTTACCTGATAGCAGTCTATTCACTTATCTGTTTCTCTCGTGTGCAACAGACACTAATGATATTATTTAGTGGTACATACGTTAATAATTTCACGATTCGTCGTCATTATGTATGGGGAGCCGCCAAGCCAGTGAGACTCAGTTTCTTCCGCATTTGCCAGTAACTGTAGGAGGAATCGGACCACACCTAAAGTTACAAAAAAATATTTTCACAAGGCCAGCAATGAAGTAATGATGAACAATGGGTCATTTGCGCTGGTCATAGAATTGTGTTTTGATTATTTCAGATCATAAATTAGCTGGAAGTAATGAGAACTGTCCAAACGCCAAGTTTTCAAGTTCCATATTAATGGAAATTATGTCGTTCAAAAGCCCCGACGCATGACATCATCTATCGTGGTGGTGAATGCCAGGGTTATTCTGCCGTGCCAAGGAAAAGCGCCGTATGAGCATTCAGGCGTTGCCATATTTCATTTAATAACCAGAGAATTTACTGAGAAAATTCTGAATATTTTTCCTCCAGTTTTTCAGACAATTTTGTTCCCAAATCTAATATTGGACAATTTTAAGGAAAAATACACATAACTTTTTTCTAGAATGCATATTTTAGTTGGGAAAATTTGTCAACTCTCGAATATTCATACGGCGTTCTTCTTGAGCACAGCAGTATTCTTTCGCCTTAGTTTTCTTTCGTGTTTTGATTCGAGCAATCACAGGAAATATGTCATTAATTGACAAATCAAAGGTAGGAGAAAGCATAGTGCCTTGCTAAGGAAGAACGCCGTATGAACATTCGAGAGTTGCCAAATTTTATTCAATAAAGTGTTTATTTTTGAGGAAAGTTGTGAATAATTTTCCTTGACATTTTCAGGAACTTTAGATCAAAATACAAAGAATATTCCCTGTAAAATTGGAAGAAAAATATTCAGAAGTTTACCAGGAAATTCCTGTTTTATCAATCGAAATTTAACAACGCCTGAAGGTTCATACGACGATTTCCCTTAGCACAGCAGCATAGTGCTATTTACTGTGGTTGGTGACATACACAGTGTTTTTCGATGACCAATACCTCCATTGCTATTGTACGAAGAACTTTTTGAATAGATTGTTATACTTTGCATATCTGTCAACTTGATCGATCAAAGATGATTCTGGGACAATCGCGATTGACCCAATCAGGCAAATGCTTACATTTTTTTTATTTTTTACTTTCTTCATATTTGTGCGATCGTCAAAAATTTCGTCGAGAAGTTTTTTTTGTTTTTACCTTGGAAGAAGGGAACACTTCCAGTATAAGAGTGAAACATGACGGACAACTGGCGAAAGTCAGCAATACTCTATTGCACGTCAATATTGAATTAGTAAAAATGTAGCATCTACCTTTTTCACATCAATGAAAATAATGTTAGTATGGAAATTTGCATTCACAGTTTAAAAAAAAAAAAAAAAAAAAAAAAAAAAAAAACTTTTGGAATAATATTTTCAACGCGGTAACCGCGGGAATTTTTAATTTATGGCGACATTTAAGATAAAGTATCGCTGACAATTGCTGATATTATGATACTCAATACAGCATCAAAGAAGAAAATTCGCATACGTACTTGTTGTATTGAATTGCTTGAGATATATGTACGCTGATCCGACAAATGGAAGAGGAATAGGGCCTGGGAATTGAGCCATGAATTTGATAAGTCTCCTGTTCCTCCATCGGTGAATGATCGTATGAATCAATATAGTCAATGCTAAGAAGACTGCTAGCGCAGATGATACATTTCCTGTCGCAAAATCCATCTGTTTTACGTATGAAACAATGCAAAGTCTATTATTTCATAGTTACAGAAAATATTCGATTTAAATTGAAGGAAATAATGGGCCACTTGACAAGGCCTTGGATTAAAGCGATATGCAACATAATGCGGCTTTGAAACTTCAGGAGGAAAGCGGGTTGCATGCTGGGAAGTCTAGAAATCTACTACACATCGATGACCAAAGTGCGAAACCGCTTACCTCTGGTTGCTGCGTTGCAGACTTCATGTCATACTTTCATTTTTCTCGGGAACGGGGAAAGTAATAAAAGTAGTCTCTTGAAAATGCCCTTGATTTGTCTTCTCGGTAAGCGAAATATTCTGTTAAAATAATTATAACCTATGAAGTTGACTTATTGCTCTTTAAAAACATAAAAACGGAGCGGGAATTTTGAAACACTGCAATGGAGATGTCGCATGTGTGAGAAATTTGCGATTTGGCTGTTGATTCGTAGGTAAAAGTTCGCGAGAAACACGATGGTGCTACTGGTTTTATCTGAAATCAACTCCCAAGCCCAAAGAAAGCTCTCAAGTTAAGGCCAAAATGGAGAGGATATCCCACCTTACCCTGAGAGTCCACCTCTACATCAAAACAAACTCTCCATGCAAAGATAGGGAGCAAATACATTAGCAGGGTTGTCGTGTTTTCACTTTTAGAGTCCCCAAATAAAGTGGCAGCCCTGTCAATGTATTTGCTCCCTATCTTTGCATGGAGAGTTTGTCTTGATGTAGAGGTGGACTCTCAGGGTAGGGTGGGATATCCCCTCCATTATGGCTTCAATTTGAGAGCTTTTTTTGAGCTTGGGAGCTAATTTCAGAGAAAACCAGTGGCACCATCGTGTTTCGCACGAGCTTTTGCTTAAAAATCAACAATCAAATCGCAAATTCCTCACACATGCAACATCCTCATTAGGTTACACGTGCTTTTACACTTTGGTCATCGAAATGAGTGTTTACAATGGGCCTTTTGCATGCAAGAGATACAACCGCGCGAATAGACTTTTTTCAGGTTAAATGACACGAAAATTACGATGTTCACATTAAAAAGTCTGAAATACACTCCTTACTGCGCAATTTGCGTTTTTAGGATAACGCGCTTTTTCAAATTTCCCGCGTCTGGGGGCAGCTTTCTAATCACCGGAAATGAGCAAACGGCGGGCTCGGTGATTTCCGGAAGATGTCGAGTCGTTGTTGTTGTTGTTATTTTTTCCTTCAGTTTGTTTGCAAACCCAACGTGATCTCTTATAGGGGTCCATATACGCTTTACGCAGTAACCAAATCGATCAACTTTTAAATATCCAACGCAATCCTTCTACATTTCATTTCACGATATCACGAGCTCCGATTTTTAGGTTATGTTGTCAGTTTTAGTTGACCGGAAATAGCCGCGAGTTGCCGTTAATTGTTTCCGTTAGAAAACTGCCCCCAGACGCGGGAAATTTGAAAAAGCGGATTCCTGACAACGCAAATTGCGCAGTAAGGAGTGTATTTCAGACTTTTTTAATGTGAGCATCGTAATTTTCGTGTCATTTAACCACTAAAAAGTCTATTCGCACGGCTGTATCTCTTGCATGCAACAGGCCCATTAAAATCGGTTAAAAGGCAAAAATACAAGAATAACGTCATCCGTATAATCTGAGTTAAGTAGGCAAAAGTAAAGCTTGATAATAACTCGTTAGGGAGTTGGTTTTCGAACCTCCAGTTGAACGTATTTTTACCAAACGGAACTATGTGCATTATGACGTGCGTCCTGTTATGCAATCATTCTTATAGGTCTCAGGGCTCATGTATTAATGAACATAGTTCCGTTTGGCAGAAATACGTCGAATTGTGTACATCGGTTTTTACGGAAGATTCTGAAGAGAAATAAATGTGCGTGCCTTACCTATTCTCTAGCTCACACTTTGTCTAGATTCTTACATAATTTAACTCCAAAAAATTTAACGTGCTATTGATTATAACACTAAACAAATCGCAAAGCGACCCCTTATGTTGTACACAATACGTGTGCCAATAAAAATCAATCGATAAATCAGCTATATCTGTCTTACAAATCAGACAAATCTCGGTTTTTTATAAAATATGCTGAACAAATTTTGCGTTCAGAAAACGTCTATAGATACGTTATCGGCAAACCCCGATTTTCAGGCAAACCTAGGTTTGCCGAGGAGGTCACCAGGCAAAGCTGCCAGGGAGGTTATCAGGTAAACCTAGGTTTGCCAAACGTCATTCCAGGCAAACCTTTGCAAATCGATATTTCAGGCAAACTCCGATTTTGTTTTTTACCGCAAATATAACTGTACCGATCGACTTATTTTTACCGCAAATGTAACGCTGGTAGACAGTTTGTGGAGACCAAATTTTTACTGATTGAAGTAGACTTAATTTTAGGAACACGTACAACAAAAGGAAAAATATCATAGGAAATTGATAATTTTATAAGTACTGCGAAAAATGTCATCAAAATGTTTAAACAAATAATGAAGTGAAAACTGCTTTACTACTTATTGTTGCAACTGACGTTGGCGTGGCGTTAACACCGAAAATAAAGGTAAGCGGTAGGGTAGGGTTATATTTGCGGTGAAAAAAGTCAAACGGAACGGTCATGTTTGCAGTAAAAAAGCAAAATCGGGGTTTGCCTGAAATAGCGTTCGAAAAACCGAGGTTTGCCTGAAACTCGGGGTTTGCCGGTAACAGATAGACATAATCTTTAGGGCTAATTTGTTTGAACCCATTTTATGGACTTACGTCAGAGAAATGTAAGTTAGGATTTACTATAAGGATTTTATAATGGCTCAATTCATAACTGGCCTAAAGATATTTTGCCTATTGGTTTTAAAAGCTCAAAGCGACAATTTCCTCAGAGGCTCAGTGCAGTTTGAATCGAAATCAATGCGGAAAATGCAACACATTGTTGTTATAAAAGCATACCCTAACACACTTGAATTATAATGCACTGTAGGGTATTTACATTGAAAAATCTACGGAAAGCACTAAAAATCTTTATAGATCGATAAAAATGGTTGCGTTTCAAACTTTGTTGTCAGCGCACACTCTCGTTTCAATTTTGTCAACAAGCAAGGGCATTGTGTAATTTCTGTGGTATTAAACGATGCCAGCACGAGCCATACACTGATAAATCATGATTTTACGAGCGGTTTACAAATCATATCATGCTTGCCATGTGATTGAACCGGCACAATAATAATTGTCATGAGCGGTTCACCAGGCAATATCCTCACCTGTAATTATTTGTACGGTATTTTGCATAAAACTCATTTTTTGTTTTCTCAATTATTAAATCAATTATTGTCATGGGAAAATCAATTAATAACGTACCATTTCTAAGATTAGTCCAAGAAATTGGATCATGTCCAAGTGATGTCATTAATTTATGCAAGAAAAAGAAAAAAGAATGCCCTAGTTGAAAGGATATTATAAGAAAATAGAGATGATTCTGAGATATCTGGAGAAAAAAAATAAAATTCATGGATGTAGAAGTGCCGTAGAGGCCAAAAAGAGCTCACCAGTTTGCTGGCAATTTTTATCGGTCGTAGAGATATGTTAGCTGAAAGTAATCCCACAACGGTAACACTGCATAATTAGAAGACGAAAACTGACTGACACCATCATGGAGGAAGCATTTTGGAAAATAAGAGGAAGGAAAATGCCCGAAATTCATAACAAGCGATTACACAAAATGAAAGTCTAATTAGCTGAATGGTCCCATAGCAGAAAATTAATGCCGAGGACTGATTTCAAAGGCACACTTTTCACGAACACCACGAAGACTAAATTCAGTTATCGGGGAAAAGAACGAATCAAAAGCTCGCAGTTATTTCCTGGGTGCTCATTATTCGGTAAATCGCGAAATTAAAATGGTCTGTAAAATTTGTTTTTACTGGCACGGATCAGCATTCTTTTTGCCGACAGATTACCGCTTACATTTTGCGCAAAGGTTTAAAATAATGAATTAAATTCACACGAGACGGACAAAAAACGAAAGTCTTGCTCCAAGTGCAGATTCCATAAGACATCAGTTATGTCGCGGTCAAGGTCGTGAGATATACGAAATCGTCATTTGAGCTCTGTGCAGTTGATCAACAGACGACACAAAAAATATCGCCTGATTTTCCGATGATATTTTTACTACAGGCTCGGACTGGCCATAAGGCCGATCTGCCATTGGCAGATACGCCCCCTTGGCGCGACAAAAACGCGCCCCTCTGACAGATAGTAAAATAAGAAGAGAAAAAAAATTACGACCGAGAATATACGCGAAAAATGTCTTAAATGAACGGGAGAAGAGAGACTTAGGAGTAAAGAAAAGTGCTTTTATGCATGATAGTGGTGAACAGAGAACTATTTTCTGAAGCGTTAATACTTTTCTGTGAAATTTTCAACTTTTTGTCGACATACAGGCGTTTTATCATCCCCCTCCTTCATTCAATTCCCATAGAAGCGATGGTCGGTTCGACTTTTACACACACGCACAATTTATGGACCTCTTGAGAGACCTTTAAATATATTTCCTACTTTTCAAAATGACTATTGATTTGGACATACCTTCGCCTCATGGGCAAACTTAACCTTAAGTTATCTCGAAATTCAAAAATAGGAGAGATCTAAAGTGTAAACGCGATACAACTGTTTGAGCAATATGGATGTCCTTATTGCATATGAAACATGTAAGACGCGATGGCGTGAGTCGTGAACTCGCAATGCTCTGCTCAATGCTACTAGTTTGAAGCACCATTACGAATATGACAAATGTAAGCGAACACAATGGAAATAAAGCGAGGTAAAGGATGCGCGTTTACAACGGCGCAGAGATACAACTATTCGTACTGGATGGACGTCCGTGCGGAATCTGAAAAATTGAAGGCGCGATGACGCGAAGCGTGAGTTCTCAACGCTCTGCTGTATGCTGCCAATGAGATGTCGCTCGGATTCGGGAGAAAAGTTAAATAAGAGGCCCGAACACATCTCTCCTACCTTCTGCTGTGTTACTCACGTAGTGCTTGAAGCACCATTACTAATAAGACAAACGGAAACAAACACAACATGGAAATAAAGCGAGGGAAAGGATGCGCGTTTACGACGGCGCAGAGATACAACTATACGTACTCGATGGACGTCCGTGCTGCATCTGAAAAATTGAAGGCGCGATGACGCGAAGCGTGAGCTCTCAATGCCCTACTATGTGCTGTCAATGAGGTGTCGCTCTGATTCGGGAGAAAAGTTAAAAAAGAGGCCCGAATACGTCTCTCCTGTTTTCGGCTGTGTTGATAAATGTTCTTTCTTCTTTTATTCAGCTTCTTATCTGATTCTTTTTTAGGATGGATTTGCAGACCTACGTCTTAAGCTCGTGTAAACCGCAGCACTGGCTCGGTTCTTTTCAAAATAATGGTGCTTGGATGCGTCTGATGGCTTCAATTTTTTATGTTTTCGTTGATTTCAGAAGTCTGTCGATTACTTCGATACGTTCATTTTTGCAATTTTTACACTGTGCGATTAATTTTTGGCCTGAAAATAACGTAAACTTGAGCTGCTTTGCCAAAATTTTCTGAACCCCTCTCCTCGGAGGAGATGCCCAACCAGGAAATATAACATTACGCCCCTTCAACTAGCCAAGGGTCTACGCCCTCAGATGCAGGCCAGTCCGACTCTGTTTTACTACATAGCTTTGGCACTGATTTCGTGGATTACACTGAGACCATTATTACGCATTTTGCTATTTCGTCTTCTTCTTCCTTTCTTATTTCCCCTCTTGTTCATCTTCAAAAATATTCTTAATAAACCCCAAGTGCCTGCTTATGACTGCGCTCCTAAAGTTCATTTTACATCCTGAAAATGCAATATATGTAACTGTAAGGGCAGTCAAATCAGCAAGTAGAAATCACAAGACACACTTTTGCAACCTAGATGCTGAAGCAGCATTACTTTTCTGGGTATTAATATTCCTGCGCGGAAAATTCTTTGAAATAATATGCATTACTTTGTGAGCAAGCATTTTATGTTAGTATCGCAGACCAATTGTAAAAGCAGGCATTTTTTTTTTTTTTTTTAAATATGTAAGCAAACAATCAAAAGACGTTCACTCACATATTCTGGTATAATTCCAAACAATACAGTACTATTTTTTTTATGAAAAGGATTTTGATTTTGATGTCTATATTGATATAGGGTTGTATTTATGATGTCTAGCCCATGCGTGAGCATTCTCTCTACTCGCGAAGCGACCAGTAATTCCTATCATACGCAGTACAAGCTTGCAAATTTTTGGAAACTTAAACGCATGGCATGAAAAAGCAACCATATTTGCGGATGCCGCCACTAGCGGAAAATTCACACTTTTGTTATGATTCATGTACTGTGGACATATTTCTAGTGCTGCCGCACTTTTGGGACTTTAACGCAGAATTGGTAAAACAACCACTTTCATGGATATCGCTATGAGTGCCTTTAAGGCAAAGTCAATACGTTTGCTCTTTTTCTGGTCCAAATTATATGTATGCAAAACTGTGAAAACCTTTAGAATTCAATCATCCGCTGAACGTTTTAATAAAATAAATGATTTGACTGACCGTCTAACATTAGGATGGTGAAACTGCAGAAATGCGTATATCGGTTTGTGGCGTTGCAGATTCCCTGTCATACGCTATTTTTTGCATGGATCACCGCTAAACGTCATCTATTGAAAACTTCCGTAATTTTTCTTTTCTACATGAGAAAATATTCTGTGAATATTTCAAGCCACAATGTTGGTTTGAGCCAGGGTTGCATGGGTGAAATGAAAAATGTGAAATATGAAAATTTCCGTAAAATATTTCATAAAAATTTCACAAAATTCTGAAAAATATGAAACATATGAGACACATTTTCAGGGGCTGGGTATGCAACACACACGAAAAAACATCCAAAAAGCAAAAAGCAGTCGTCTTTCATTTAATTTTGCATTTAATTTCAAAAATTATTTTTCATATTTTTCAGCAATATTCCACATGAAATTGCAATATTTTATTTTTCATAAAAAATTGAAACCCTGCTGGTTTAATCTCCTTTTAAAAATATAGAATAGACAGGAAATTTTGAAACGCTGCAACCGAGAAATGCATTTTTCCAGTTTCACCGCCTCCTAGGAGAAATGAAAAACTGCAAGTACCTTGACACTGATCCGCAAAAAAAATCGGAAGCGAGGGGTTTTGCCGCGTCGGCGGATGGAACGATCCTAAAAAACACCACCTTTTAATTTTTCCGAATCACAGTTGGGAGCACCGGGAATAACTTTGCGTGCACTATCGGGAGACATTTGCGCGGAGTGAAAATCGAAGGCGGCTTTCTTCGCCGAAGAACTTGAGGATTGCGCGGGTCGTGGTCGAGGCTGAGGCGGATCGAATCGAAAATTGGCGTCGGACCCGATGCGCAAAGACAGAGGAGCAGAAAACGGAATGAGAAAATAATTAAAAACAATCAGCGGCCAATCAACGGTGGATCTTATCCGTATAATGCAGAATACAGCCCAGGCGGCAAAGGTTAACAAACGGAGGTCTCAATGAAGAGTGAAAGGGAAAGTTACGTTAAGTGAAAAGTTAAGTCGCAAAAAACGCCCCTCTCGAAGATTCGGCGGAAAATTGGAGAGTATTGAGACCGAGAGAGGGAAAAATGCGAAAATAAACTACTCCCTTAGGGCTCTTCATCAATAATTGCGCCCGCAAATAAAACGCCCCTACATCACCGCGCCTTGGTACAACGCTGTGTGGACATGTGCGCATTGCCAAATTTCTTAAAAAGTTATATACTTTTGAACACTGGGGGGAAAAAAACACATTGGATCTAGAGTCCAGACTCTTGAAAACATTGACAAGAAAAAATACTCTTGATTCAATCGGATTTTTGCTTGAATCAAAACGAAATCCGCTTAAATTAATAAGCTTAGTTCTTGATTTAAGCTAGATTCCGATTGAGTCAAGAGTATTTTTTCTTGTCGATGTTTTTAAGAGTCTTGACTGTAGATCCAATATGTTTTTTCCAGTGAATGATATGATGGATATCCCCCCTTGAAACTTTCAGGATCAGCGACGTGGCGAGAATGATCGATTATCGATATTTCCCCATTTGAAGGTATGGTGAAGAATCGATTATAAAGCACTGGAAAAAAACACATTGTACCTAGAGTCCAGAATCTTAAAAAAATTGACAAGAAAAAATACTCACGATTCAAAAAGCTTTAAGCTTAAATCAAGGACCCAGACTCTTACTTTGAGCGGATTTCCTTTTGATTTAAGCTTAAATTTGATTGAATCAAGATTATTTTTTCTTGTCAATGTTTTCAAGAATCTGGACTCTAGATCCAATGTGTTATTTTTTTCCAGTGAGGTGTTCGTTGCGAACACCCTGAATATCGATCTTTTTCCATAGGTTTGAATTGCAGATCAATCTATATATCGCAATGCACGCCACGCCACTGTTCAGGATAATTAGGATGAACATGGCCAGAGTTAGCCCAGCTGCATTTCACATAGCTTATTTTTTTCTCTCCCGATTAATTGAACTTCCTTTTTCAACCGGGAACCATAATTTTTGGCTCATCCGCAAAACTACTTATGTGCACAGGGAAACTAATGGCAGGTACGTCGTTTTCAAACTGAGGCAGATATTGAAGTTCCCACTTACAAAATGAAGTGCAATTTTTAAATGGCTAAGTAAGCAATATAACATCTTCAAATTTTTCATGAGTTTCCCCTAGAGTGTAGGAAACATTTTTACACAGTTTCAAGATAAACTGTGTTTAATATTCTGGTGGAAAAAATAGAACGTTTAGGTATGATAAAATTAGGGTATGTCTGATGTAGGTTTAGGATAATTTTGGTTAGTGGTGTCCATGACATCGAAACTGGAGGACTTTGTTCAAGAATCCGAAGAAAGGGTCATACAATTTTTAGAAAAAGTAATATTTCACCATAAAGAAATTTGACAACGCTTGATCTTCATAAGGCTTTTCCCCTCAGCAAGGCAGTACTTTGGATCCTCTTAAAAAGAGTCTATAGCTGTTTGAAGGATACATTTGGTTCGAATTTAATCGTCTGGTGGTTGAATTTGGGGTGATTCCGTACAAAAAGTCGTCCTTGTCAAATTGAGAAATGCGTAATAACGAATCCAAATGGTGATTAGGGTGACCTTCATGGGCAGATGGAATGTTTTCCCTTTGGCATTTTTGTAAATTGGCTCGTTTTTCTGAACGGCTTAAAGGGAAAACAGCGTTCAGTAGGAGGGACTTATCAAACAAGTTTTGATCCCTGGGATCTCAAGCTTTCAACATTTATAAGTACGGACACTTTTTTCATTCTGCTCGAAAGTGAGCTCATAATTTTTTTTTTTTTTTCTACAAGATAGGAAAAGAAAGCTGAATGAAGCAAAAAATTAAAACCGTGTGAAAATTTCGAAAATAAAGAGGTTTCATTTTTTTTTATTCTCCCTCCCTTTCATCCCATCCTCTTTCTTGCTCTCTCCCTCCCTTCCCTCATCGTTTTTCTCTTCCTCCTTTTCTGAACATATTTTCATAATTAGAAGAGCTATACTCATCTCCCGAATGAGTGTATACATACGTATATGAAAGCCTGCGTATAGACTTGATGATGAATTTCCTGTCTGAAAAAATACTCAACATTTTCTCCGCATTATATATTTCCTTTCCGACTTTTCTGCGCACAAATCCTCTTCAAATGTCATGTGAAGTTGCACCCACATAATTATTTGTAATCCATCAAAACATTCCGTAAACGATAAATTAATTATCAAATTAGACGTATTAAAAAGAGAGAAAACAACAACGGTGTAAAATGAACGCGCAATTAGAATAATAATTATACCAAAATTATATAACAGATATTCCCATAAGAAAGTCGATACGATACAAGGCCTCCATTTTTTGTAATCAAACTATCGAAAATTCGGCAAATTTTCCATCAGATGAGTCTAACTGAAAGCTCATTGCCAAAAAATAGAGACTAAGATTTGGGTTTTAACGCATTCCAACTACACAGAAAGAATATTTGTGTTCTTTTGTTTAATAAAGGAGGACAAACACAAACCAACCGAAACAAATCAAATTTGATTCAGTTTCCAGTAAATGAACGCAGAAAATAAGGCCTCGATTGACGATCAAATTCCCGAACCAATTTCGATCAAAGTAGCATTAAAGTTTCGGGATTCATCAGTCTTAAACTCATTAATTTGCTTCATTTTAAAATGAAAACTTGGCAGAAATGTTTCCTGTGGCAGGAAATGATGAATGGCGGCACTTCGTTCTGATCTAACTTTGAACAAAAAAATGCGGCCCGTCAAAATGTAATGGTAGATGGTGACCACCAGTCATCAGCATGTCTACTTTGACGGGAATTGGTTCGGAATGTGATCGTCTATCCAGGGCTTTAAACTTGGAAATTGGTGAAACCCTAGGATCAACCGAAGGCTATGGTTACCATTTTTGTGATTTGATCCCTCTCTATTGCTCACTGGATGTATTCGTTTCAAAGTAATGACACCAGATCCGCTAATTCTGCGACACCCTGTGTAGAATATTTTCCAGCGTTTCCTTTCCCATCCATCTTAAAATAAGCATTGCAAACAACTTGCGATGTGCTCAGATGTACGTAAACACTCAAGAGTGACAGTTTTCGTACCGCCCACTTTATTACTCCTCCATTTATGACTTTGTGTATGAACTCGCTACATTTTCTGGTGATGAGAAATCGGCTCCTATGGCCCACGTTTTTCATTATTTGTCATGATTCAGCGGTGTAACACCAGAAACGTCAACATCCGGTAATGAGTTAGCTGTGATAATTGAATCGGCTCCTGCAAACACGTCGGATGTCTACTGCACTTTTTTGAATTACAGTTGTTGTTTTTGCCTTATATAATCCTGATTCATAAACCTAGAGTAAACGTTTATTTACATTGTAGGATTTGAAAAAAAAATAGACTACGTATCTACTGTTTTGGACCAGCTTTTTTCTTAAGTCCCAATAAATATTTGACATCTCTGCATTTAAAATCGGTCGTTTTTGCAAGAGGCGATTGAATTATGAATCAGCCTCTTTGCAAACAGATTTTACGCACGTTTGGAAAAAATAATAAGATTCGTTAAATTGCTACGCAGCCGCGACGCTCACTACTGACGGAGATGTTTCATTCAATAAACATGACAATTATGACGTTATAGGCTGCAGTTTGCATTGAAAATAAAAACAACGAGATGCAGTTAATATAGGGAGGTGCAGCGAAAATATTGTCAGTCTATGGATGAATAAAGATAACCCCTACAGGCTCGGACTGGCTATAAGGCCAATCTGCCATTGGCAGATACGCCCACTTGGCGCGCCAAAAACGTGCCCCTCTGACACATAGCAAAATAAGAAGAGAAAAAAAATAACGACAGAGAATATATGCGGAACATTTTTTAAATGAGCGGAAGAAGAGAGAGTTAGGAGTGAAGAGAGGTGCTTTTACGCATAGTGGTGAACAGAGGTCCAAGAACTACTTTCTAAAGCGTAAACACTTTTTTGCAAAATTGTCACCTTTTTGTTGACATACAGGCGCTTTATCACCCCCTCCTTCATTCTCTATGTGTTACCCCCGTAGAGTCGATAGCCGGTTAAATTTTTAGACATACGCACACTTTATAGACCTCTTAAGAAACCATTGAACATTTTTCTTCCTTTTCAAAATGACTATTGATTTGGACATATCATAGCATATCTCGGGCAAACTTAACCTTATTTAATTTCGAAATTCAAAAGTAAGAGACATCTAAAGTGTAAACGCGATACAACTATTCTCGCAAGATGGATTTCCACATGGCATATGAAAAATGTAAGACGCGATGGCGTGAGTCGTGAACTCGCAATGCTCTGCTCTAGTTTAAAGCAACATTACAAATAAGACAAACGGAAACAAACACAACATGGAAATAGAGGAAGGGAAAGGATGCGCGTTAACGACGGCGCAGAGATACAACTATTAGTACTTGATGGACGTCCGTGCCGCATCTGAAAAATTGAAGGCGCGATGGCGCGAAGCGTGGGTTCTCAATGCTCTGCTATATGCTGCCAATGAGGTGTCGCTCAGATTCGGGAGGAAAGTTAAAAAATAGGCCCGAACACATCTCTCCTACCTTCGGCTGTGTTTCTCACGTAGTGCTTGAAGCACAATTACGAATAAGACAAACGCAAACAAACACAACATGGAAATAGAGGAAGGGAAAGGATGCGCGTTAACGACGGCGCAGAGATACAACTATTCGTACTTGATGGACGTCCGTGCCGCATCTGAAAAATTGAAGGCGCGATGACGCGAAGCGTGAGTTCTCAATGCCCTGCTATATGCTGTCAATGAGGTGTCGCTCAGATTTGGGAGAAAAGTTAAAAAAGAGGCCCGAATACGTCTTTCTTGTCGTCGGCTGTGTTGATACTCCTTCTTTCTACTTTTTTCAGGTTCTTGCCTGATTCTTTTTTACAGGATGGATTTTTAGACCCACGTCTTAAGCTCGTGTAAACCGCAG